CTCTTCCTCCTCCTCTTCCTCTTCCTCTTCCTTCTCCTCCTCCTCCTCCTCCTCCTTCTTTTCCTCCTCCTCCTCCTCCTCCTTCTTTTCCTTCTCCTCCTCCTCTTCCTTCTTCTCTTCCTCCTCCTCCTCCTTCTGTTTTCCATTTTCCTTCTCATTCTCCTCCTCCTCCCTCCTTTTTTTCCTTCCTTCCTTCCTTCCTTCCTTCCTTCCTCTTTCAAAAGGGCATATTTTAGAATTAAGAGGCAAAAGGCTTATCAGATTAGCTCTGGCCGTGAATAAGATCAACGCAGGGTATTCTCTGCATCTTCATGTCATCTTAGCAAGTAGCAGTCCCAGCCAGCTTTGAAAAGTCGCCATATATGGGCTATATTCTGGAACGGTTTTGGGTGTCACTCTCCTGGAATGACTTAGCTTCAAGGATCACATCTTCTGCTTGCTGTCTCTCAGGATGGGTATCGGACACTCTGTGTGGCCTACAAGGAAATATCACCCGCCGTCTACAAGGTCCTAGAAGCCCAGATTAAAGAAGCCACTGTGGCTCTACACAACCGAGAAGCCAGGATGGCCAAGGTCTTTGATGATATTGAGAAGGACATGCGTCTGATTGGCTCCACTGCTGTAGAAGACAAGTAAGCCCCACTGGCTAGTTCAGATAACCCATCGCGCCTTCCAAGGCAGTTGAAGTCTCAACATATTTTAATCAGTTTTGATCAGATGGTGGTGTGGTGTGCCCAGATTATTCTGTTCAAGTGGGAAACTTTTAATTTGCCAGTTTATTAGCCCCATGAATAATGGCACGCTTTGTAGACCATTGTTCCTCAAACTTTCTGCGTTCAGAAAATGTGGGGACAACCCAATTAAACACCCCTTCTCTTCTTTTTTGTTCAAGGATCAGAGGGCTTTGGGGAAGGAAGGGGAATAAGCAAGGTGATACCTTTTAAAAAGCCTTTTAAGCTAAATTTGGTACCCAAAAGGGTACTGCAAAATTAAGGATGTGTTTACCATTTGAATGGCCTAAAGTATCCCACACTGTAATAGCCACAACTATTCATACCAGCCAAGAATGCTATGATAGAAATGTTTGATAGGTTGAATACCTCAGCTAGCTACAGAAGATGGGACTTCCAGATCAGAAGATCAGGTGAGGGAAATTGGCAAATAAAGCTCAAAAATTGCATTTGTGTGTGGGAAATCCAGTGATGGTATGCTAGCGGTTTGGACCGGTTTGACTGAACCGGTAGTAAAAAAAAAAAAGCCGCCTACAATCTGCTGAGAGGAGGAAAAAATGCCGGAAGATCAGCTGAGAGGAGAAAGAAGAGAAAAGCAAAGGATCGACCCGCCCCACCCACCCCTGTGCTTTTGTCTTCTTTAGCCTCTCAGCTGATTGGCGCTGCAGGTCTCAGCTGGTGTGTGGAAAGCTGCACGCGTGCATTAGGTGCAAACACAATCACCGAACCCGTAGTGGGACAAGTAGGATCCCATTGCTGAAAAAAAAATCCCTCTAAATTGTGAACTGGAGAAGTGGATGGAGAAGACCCACTTTTAATTGTGCGTTGGTCCAGATTAGAATTCTTCTACACGTTCTTCTTGTCTTTGCTGTCCTCGGTGGTGGGTTGCTATAAGTAGCTCAAGTGCTTCCTTGCTACATATGTGTTCTGAAGGGCCCATTTCCTAAAAGGAAACCCAGTGATTTGTCATTTTGTGGGGGAGGGAAAAAGGGGGAAAATAAGAGAGGAAGCTTTGAGGAAGATCCCGCTGGTTGGTTGAGTCCTTTTCACCGATTTTCCTGCAGACTCCAGGATTTTGCAGCTGAAACCATTGAATCCCTCCACGCAGCAGGCATGAAGATCTGGGTGTTGACAGGGGACAAGCTGGAGACGGCCCAAGCCACCTGCTATGCAAGTCGCCTCTTCCACAGCAACACAGAGCTACTGCTCTTGACAGCAAAAATGGTGGAGGAAGGTGACAGAAAAATGGAGCGGCTTCACGAACTGCTGATGGAGTACCACAAAAAGTTGGTGACCGACGCGCCCCCAGGGAAGAAGTGAGTTGGATACTAAGCAGTAACTGAAGCACTGTTTCTCAACCTTGGCATCTTTAAGAGGTGTGGACTTCAATTCCCAGAATTCCTCAGCCACAGGTGCAGGCTGGGGGATTCTGGCAAATGAAGTCCACACTGTCAAGATTGAACCGCTTAACTTCTTCTGAACTTCTATCGCTCTTCAACTTGCCACTAGGATGGAAGGGGGAAATGGAATGCTAAGATTTTGTCTACGGACTGTGAGAGCCAAGGTCACTACTGCAGGTGTTAGATGGATACATGGACTGTTCCCATAACAAAAGGACCATCCATTGTTTAACTAAGCGAGTGTTTACATGAGAAAACCAGAGCTTGTTTTGCTTCTGCAGTTCCGAGATGATGTATCCAATAAAGTTATAGTTTTGGGAGGTGTCTGCTTTGTTTGAGTTCGCTATTTGGACCATTCACACACACCTCTTAAAATTCCTGAGGTTGAGAAACACCGGTCTGAAGGGTTGGGAAGATGGGACAGTTGCCTTTGTGGCACTTTGCAGCAATCTAGGGTGGGCCCTCCAATCTTGACAACTTTAAGACTTGTGGAATTCCACCCCCCCCCCCCCAGAATTCCCCAGCCAGCATCCATGGCTGAGGAATTCTGGGAGTTAAAGTCCACCACTCTTAAAAGTTGCCAGATTTGGAGACCTCTGAAGGTAGCCAGAAGGGAGACCTCCATGAAGTTGGTCTTTTGTAGCCTGCGATATTTGGAACCGACATTATTCCTAGTGCATCCCCTTATATTGTAAGGGCTGATCTCAGTTGGACGTGCCTTGGTCCCATTAAAAACTACATTGCTTGATATCTTGAGTTCTCCTTGTTTTTCTGCCTGGATGTCTTCCTTGCAGAGAATCCAGAATTGCTATGTTTTCCATCTCTTCCCTTCCTTCTCAGCTAAAGAAGGGTAAACTCATTGAAGTAGCACATAAAACACATTTTCTTTATATAGTAAAAATTGAAAAAGATATTTGTAAAATAAATTAAAATAAAACACATTTTCCCACACATCTGACTCTTAAAGGAACTAAAACAGCCAGAAGGGTTGCTACTCCTTGAGTTTCACATATCCTCAACTAGCTCGATACCCGTACTCTACTAAGAAACTATGAGGTTGGGCTTAGTTTTTTGGGAGGAAAATAAGGGTGTGTGTGTGAAATATGCCTCTGCCTACCACCATGTGAAAGAGTTGAGGGCTGTTTGGAAACTAAAGCAGTATTTGGTGTGGGAGCAAGAAGGAAACAGCAAGGAGCCTGGGCGTGGCTTAACTCAACTGTTCTGTACTAAAGCTGCTTAATGCTGTGAAACTAAAACTCCTCTGCTTGTGTTTTGCCTTTGGAAGAGATTTCTTTTCAGTGGGAAGGGGGAGTAGAACTCCTTAGCATCAGAGCATGTTAATAATAATAATATAGGAAATACTAATGCTCTGATGGTCCTTTTGAAAAATCCTTTCTTAGTGAGCACCTAGAAGCCAAGAGAAACATACATGCCAAATTTCAAGTTTGTAGGCTTTACAGTTCTGGAGATTTTGTGATGATGCATAAGTGGTATTTCGCTTTTATATATAGAGATTTTATTTATATATTTTTCTTTAGTAAACATAAAAACTCAATACCTATTTCACTTTTATATATATAGATTTTTCCTCCTTGGCTCTTCTGACTACAGCTTGGGTCATACCAAGGTCTCCAGCCAACAAGTCACCTTTCTCTCTTTCAGAAGCTGGGTATCCAGTTCAGACTACGGACTGGTCATTGAAGGGGCCACCCTTTCCCTGATCATGAACCCTTCTCAAGATTCCAGCTTCTCCCACTACAAGAGCATCTTCCTCCAGATCTGCCTGAAGTGCACCGCCATTTTGTGCTGCCGGATGGCCCCGTTGCAAAAGGCTCAGGTGTGTTGCTGTCCTCTGTAAGTGAGCCAAGCCACGTCCTGTCCCAGCAGAACCTGGCACGACATCCTTTCTTCCGCGTGAATGTTGGAAGGCACCAGTGGTGGGATTCAAAAAAAAATTACTACTGGTTTTGTGGGCGTGACTTGGTGGGTGTGGTGTGATTTGGTGGGCGTGGCTTGGTGGGTGTGGCAGGGGAAGGATACTGCAATATCCCCATTCCCTCCCCACCCCACCAACCTGCTTTCCAGCTCCGTTCTCCTGTGCAGGGCAACCAAAGGAGACCCAGACAATCAGCCTGGACTCAATGGGAGGCAGAGAATAGATGGGGTTGGTGGAGCCAGTCAGAGGTGATATTTGCCAGTTCTCCAAATTACCCAAAATTTCCACTATCAGTTCTCCAGAACTGGTCAGAACCTGCTGAATACCACCTCTGGAAGGCATCTCTTTTGGGAAGCCAATGACCATAAATATCTGACCTGCTGTTGAGTTTGGTCTTCAGAGTGGTGTAGTCCCCAGGAAGCCGGCTCAGAGTTGGGTGAGGAATATCTCCTATCCTGATCCACCATCCATTTCTTCCCCATAGATCGTCCGCATGGTGAAGAATTCCAAAGGCAGTCCCATCACTCTGGCTGTTGGAGATGGAGCCAATGATGTCAGCATGATTTTGGAAGCTCACGTGGGCATCGGTAAGAGATGCTTTGACCCATAGTGAGGTCTTCTCCCTCTGGAATTGTGTTGGTCAAAGGCAGGAGCCTCCAAACATGGCAACATGCTGGCTGAGGAATTCTGGGAGTTGAAGTCCACAAGTTTTAAAGTCTCCTAGGTTGAGAAACCCTGGACTAGGTCGGGGATCTACAACCTTGGCAACTTTAAGACTTGTGGCCTTCAACTCCCAGAATTCCTCAGCCAACAAACTGGTTGAGGAATCCAGCGAGTTGAAGTCCACAAGTCTTAAAGTTGCCACAATTGGAGACCCCTGGACTAGGTGATCCTTCTGGTCACTTCCAACTCTATCATTCATGGCTGGCTGAGGAATTCTGGGAGTGGAAGGCCACAAGTCTTAAAGTTGCCACGTCTGGAGGCTCCCATGTCAAAGGAAACAGCGCACAGGAGCTCCACAACTTTTAGGAGCCAGGCTGAGAGAGCTTATATAAATTCTGGATGACCAGGATGTTGCGGCCTCTGATGTACAAGGTGTCAACTCATAAAATATTTCTATGGTCTTTTTAGAGCTGCCAACAGAAAGGGAGGGGGGGAGCAGTTTGGCAGCTTGGAAACCAAAAGTGCATTCCATAAATAGTTTTCAAAGATAGTAACTAGGTGACTGAAGTTTCTGCAATGCAAATATCTAATTGGAGAACATGATGGATGATTCTTGGCTATGGATGGGTCCCATTGGAGAATATGAATTACGATACACCCAGAGGGTGGGGGAAAACGAGGGTCAAGGGTGACAATGAATGATGGGCCTCAGAGTCGGCTGCGCCCAGGCAGTGCTGGCATTGTTAACTCCCAATAAATCCTTTAAAGTTTTGGAAGTTTGGCTCGAGACTCATGATTTAAATAGGGGTAACTGCCGGAATCCCGACAACAAGGTTGACGTGCTCCATTCTTCTCCTTGGCCAGGTATCAAGGGAAAAGAAGGACGCCAAGCCGCCCGGAACAGCGACTACGCCGTCCCCAAGTTCAAACACTTGAAAAGACTGCTCTTGGCTCACGGGCATTTGTATTATGTCCGAATATCTCATCTTGTACAGTATTTCTTCTATAAGGTAAAGGGAATGGCGCATTGGTTTCGTGGAGGCCGAGAGGAAGGCGGATAGGGGGTGCGGGGCCTATGCCACTGCCAGGCCTTGCAGGATGCTTAGCAGAAGGCTAGCAGGGAAGCAAAATGCTCTTGGGAGGAGGGGGCAGAGCCAGCGGTATCCTTGGGGTGGGGGGTGGGGGGCAAAACGGGAGAGGTGGTGGACAGAAGGGTGGAGTGAAGGACCTGCCCTTTTGGGGCATCATGTTTGGTGTTGAATTACTCCATTCTACAGGTAATCCTCGACTTAAAACCACTTGCTTAGCAGACTCCATTGCAGTCATAGCTCGAGGACCATTTCTAGTCTGTTCTTCTCTGTTCTCCTGTTCTGTTCTATTTTATGTTCTGTTCTTTTCTATTTTCTATTCTACAGTAATTCTATTCTCTGTTCTATTCCATATTCTGTTCTGTTCTTTTCTATATTCTATTCTCTGTTCTATTCTGTTCTGTTATTTTCTATCTTCCATTTTCTTCTATTCTATTCTATTCTATTCTATTCTATTCTACTCTACTCTACTCTGTTCCTATTCCTATTCCTATTATTCTATTCTATTCCTATTCCTATTCTATTTTATTCTACTACTCCTCTACTCTGCTCTATTCATTCATTATTCTGTTGCATTCTACTCTATCCTACTGTACTCTACCCTGCAAAAAGTACATAAAGATATTAGAAAGAAAGATATCAGAATTGAATTGGTATGGATTGTTGTTTTAATTATATTATATATTTATAATTTTTTCTTCTTTCAAAATACAGTATCTTCTGGTTTTATTATTAATATGTTTTTCCCCTTTCTCTCTTCCCTCCCCCCCCCGATTCTTTTTTTAGAACCTTTGCTTCATTTTCCCACAGTTTTTATATCAGTTTTTCTGTGGCTTTTCACAGCAGGTAGGTTGCCATCGGTTGGGTGGGTGTTGATGTTGATGTTTTGATCAAAACAGTGGTGGGATTCAATTTTTTTTACTACTGGTTCTGTGGGCGTGGCTTGGTGGGCGTGGCAGGGGAAGGAGATACTGCAAAATCTCCATTCCTTCCCCACCCAACTAACCTGCTTTCCAGCTCCGTTCTCCTGTGCAGGGCAACCAAAGTAGACCCAGCCGATCAGCTGGGACTCGGGAGGCAAAGAATAGATGGGGACGGGGCCAGTCAGAGGTGGGATTTGCTGGTTCTCTGAACGACTCCAAATTTCTGCTACCAGTTCTCCAGAACTGGTCAGAACCTGTTGAATGCCACCTCTGGCTCAAAACTGGTTACCTAATGATTGTTTGAAGAAACTATCCAAAAAGTTACTGATGTCCCATCGCAGAAGTTACAAAGGCTGTACTATCCCTCCAGTCACACAATCGCATTTTAGGTGCTGGGCAACCATCTCACATTTACAACCAGTTGCAGCGTCTTGTGGTGATGTGATCAGGTTTTTGCAACACATTTTGCCATTTTCCCGCACCAAAGATGCCCATTGCATCAGTTGGATTTGGACTTAACAACCAGATGGATCACTTAATCATGTGATCCATCGATTGATAAACAGATTAACAGAGTTGGAAGGGACCTTGTAGGTCATCTAGTCCAACCCCCCCTCCCAAGCAGGAGACCCTACACCATTTCTGACAGATGACAGCCCAATCTCTTCTTGAAAGCCTCCAGTGATGAAACTCCCACAACTTCTGAAGGCAACTTCTGTTCCATGGGTTGATTGCTCTCCCTGTCAGAAAATTCCTCCTTATTTCCCGGTTGAGTCTCTCCTTGTTCAGTTTCCATCCATTGTTCCTTGTCTGGCCTTTGGGGGCTTTGGAAAATAGCTTGACCCCCTTCCTCTCTGGGGCAGCCCCTCAACACTGCTATCCTGTCTCCCCTGGCCCCTTCTCTTCACTAGATTCATTTAACACCCAACCTAAAATGGTTATAAGATCGAGTCCAGTCCCGTGGGGATTCCACAGTTGCAACAACTTCACAACCAAAATTCCAGGATCACTGGTGGCCATAAGTCAAGGACTACCTGTAATTTTGGGTGACAAAATTCTTGTTTTCCTTGCACATTAGGGGATTGGATGGTTTGGTAGTACTTTTACGAAGGAGAGCCAGCCTGTATCCCTTCCCAGTTTGGACGACTGGGAGAAGCAGCTCCCACCAGTCATGTATAAACCACGCCTTTCATTTTGTCTTCTTTTGGGGTGTGTGTGTGTGTTTTAAATGGTTCCTCTTGCCAACCCCCGAGAAGTGGTCCTTCAGCCTCCCTCTTTGTCCCGCAAAAATGCAGCTGCTAGCAACTCCCTCCCTCTCTCTGCCCTTCCTCCCTCTCTCCCTTCCTCCTTTTGGGGGGAAAAATAGACACCACCCCAGTTACAAAAGAATCCCCTCGCAACCCAAACCACTCCTGCATTGTACTTAAACTCCTGCAAGGGGCAGATGTGAATGGATGAAGGGGGGGGGAGCTATTTGTGTGTGTGTGTGTGTGTGTATATATATATATATAAGTCCGAACGACTCCAGGTTTCAACGATTGTTTCCTGAATGAGCGAGCAGCTGTCCCCCATCATCTCGGAGCAGGAGGAAGTGGCCTGCAGCTGCCTTCCAAGGCTTCCAAGTTTTCGGCTCCATTCACCCAGAAGGAGTCCTTCTCCTTCTCCTGCCAGCCTGATTGTCCTCCTTAGGCGAGGACCACTGGAGCCACCTCATTAGCTAGGGCTTGCCAATGAGCCATTGTTGCCGAAAAATCTCCGCTGGGGGAAATAATGAGCAAAACGGACGGGTTCCGCGGGGTCCTCTCCCAGCGTGTTTGGTCCAGCCGGGCTCAACGAGTGGCATTTTGGTGCTTCGAAGGGCGTCGCTTTCACCTTTCCAATGAAAAACCCGCTCTGCTCTGGCTGCTTTGGCTTGTCCCTCCAAAATGTTTTCAGGCATTTTGCCCAAAATAATCACAATCATAATAATCATAGAGTGATTGCCTGGCCCATTGGGTTGGTGAATTGTTGCGTGTCTGTGCTAAGAAAAGAGTCTTATGTGTTGGAGGCAACTTTTGTATTTTCCTCACACCTTTTGCCCTGATCATTTCAGGAAACCATGAATGGGATTTATTTATTTATTCGGTAAATTTATTTATTTAATATTATTCAATAAATAATTTTTATTCAGTAAATCAGATTATATCTCTGTCTGTGTGTATGTGTGAGAGAGAGATCAATAATTCTGATAGATAGATAGATAGATAGATAGATAGATAGATAGATAGATAGATATGGAATACAGGATGGTCAAATAGTTATATATTCTGATTCTTATTTGACCATCTTGGATCTGGGTGAGACCAAAGCCTTAAATCAGGGGTCTCCAAACTTGATAGCTTTATGACTTGTGGACTTCAGCTCCCAGAATTCCTCCTCCAGTCATGTTAGCTCAGGAATTCTCGGAGTTGAAGTCCACAAGTCTTAAACTTGCCAAGTTTGAAGACCCTTGCCTTAAATCAACAACAGGAAATGATTGCTCAAGTCATTCTCTTTTTTTCACTCCAGCCTCTCTATGATGCGGCTTACCTGACTATGTTCAACATCTGCTTCACCTCTCTGCCAATCGTGGCCTACAGTCTCCTGGAACAGCATGTCCCTATTGATGTATTGATGACTTTCCCAAAGTTGTATTTGTGAGTATGAGAAGAGGATCTTCTTCTTCTTCTTCTTCTTCTTCTTCTTCTTCTTCTTCTCCTTCTTCTCCTTCTTCTTCTCCTTCTCCTTCTCCTCCTCCTCCTCCTCCTCCTCCTCCTCCTCCTCCTCCTCCTCCTCCTCCCTCTTCTGCTTCCTCCTCCTTCCTCCTTCCTCCTCCTCCTCCTCCTCCTCCCTTCTAGCACTGATGATGTTACCAAGTTTGAGTAATAAAACATCTGCAGGAGAACAATCAAGCTCACAGGTCCTCAAGGACCCTCACAGTCATCATCATCTCCTCCTCCTCCTCCTCCTCCTCCTCCTCCTCCTCCTGTCAATCTTGCAGGTAGGGACAGAGTTCCTTTGTCTTGACATCCTTTCTCAAGGTCTTCCTGACCTGCTACGTTTCTCCTTTTGAAGTCTCAGCTTGCATTTCTGATCTCCTGGCAGCATTTGAGATCTGAATTTTGTGTTTTTCTTGGTAGGAATGTTTCCGACAATGCTATGCTCCAGTTGAAGCCATTCGTCTACTGGACCTTCTTGGGCCTTTTCAACGGTTGCGTCTTTTTCTTTGGTGCTTACTTCCTTTTTCAAAATGCCTCTATAGAAGACAATGGAAAGGTGAGGCCCCAAAGACCGAATTCTTTGCAACGGAGACTGGGGTGTGCTTGGCATGTGTGTTTGTATATGGCAACAAAGGCCGTAATGTGACCTCCGTCTCTTTGATGCTTCTCTAAAGGAATAAGCCACCCAGCCAATGATCCTTGGGGCTACATCTTATTTTAAAATGTGTTTATTTTAACCTGTATTTCTTTTAACAGGTACCATTGTCTTCAAGGCAGTATCTAGCAGTATTTTCTTAATTGCAAATTTTGTCAATATGTTTTTCAGATGGCAGGACTCTGGACGTTTGGAACAATGATTTTCACTGTCTTGGTCTTCACAGTCACACTAAAGGTTAGCGTTGTTCTTGTTGTTATTAAAAATACTCATCTTTGACAGGCTGGATCTGATATCATAGATCTTGGTGAGATTACATTCTTGCCCTGATCTCAGTGATGCCCATCCTTAAGGCCAACTAGATCAGGGGTCGCCAACCTTTTGGACCGCAGGGACCACCAAACTCATCATTTTAAATCTCACGGACCAGAGAATCTGGGAAAATCCCCCCAAAAGTCTGCAGGAAAATCCCCCACCCCGTTTTCCTACCGATCGATCGTTCTTTATTTGGGATCACAGGATACCACCTCCAGCTCTGTTCTCAGGGGGAGAGAGAGAGAGAGAGAGAGAGACTTTTGGCTTCATGCAAGGAAAGCAGCAGAAGCCGCAGAAGTCTTTCTTTCTCTCCCCCAAACTCCGCCAAAAATGAGTCTTTGCCGGCGCAGCCTCTTGGTGCAAGAGGCCTTGCAGGGTCCCAAAGACTCATTTCTGGCGGAGTTTGGGGGAGAGAAAGAAAGACTTTTGCTGCTTTCTTTGCGTGCAGCCAAAAGCAGAAAAAGAAAGAAGCGGAAAGAAGCAGCTCAGTGACCAGGCAAGGCAGGTGGGGCGAGTGGGGCAAGTTCCCTCCCCGCCAGCCTTTCCCCCCTCCTCTCACTACCTCATGTTGTTCACAATGCAAGAGACGCAAGCCTTGTATTCCTGCAGGCCATGTGGGCGGTGCAGCCTTGTGTTCCCACGCAACCTGGATTAATTGCTTTGGGAGGGTGACATTTCTCTGTGGACCACCAAAATTTTCTCGTGGACCAACAGTGGTCCCCGGCCCACTGGTTGGAGACCACTGGACTAGATGACAGGAATGGCCAACTCTCGATGGGTCCAGACTAGGAGTATTGGTGGTTTTGATTAGGATCAATAAAAACCAATGCAATATGAATTTAAGGTAGGAATGAGGGGCTGCCCCAAAGAAGAGGCAGTCCAGCTATTCTCCAAAGCACCTGAAGGTAAATCAAGAAGCAACGCATGGAAACTAATCAAGGAGAGAAGCAACTTAAAACTAAGGATAAATTTCCTGATAGTTAGAACTATTAATCAGTGGAACTCCTTGCCTCCAGAAGTTGTGAATGCTCCAACACTGGAAGTTTTGAAGAAGAGATTGGACCACCATTTGCCTGAAGTGGTGTAGAGTGGTGCCGAAGCAGGGGGTTGGACTAGAAGACCTCCAAGGTCCCTTCCAACTCTGTTATTCTGTTCTAATGTTGAATTTCTCATTTCTGTCTTTTTTTTTTTTTTCCCTAGCTGGCATTAGACACTCGGTTCTGGACGTGGATGAACCATTTTGTCATCTGGGGCTCCCTGATTTTCTATGTCTTTTTCTCTTTCTTCTGGGGAGGCTTCATTTGGTAAGCGAGCCGTCGCGGTTTCCCCAGCCCAAAGTGGCCCCATCCGTCAAGTCCTCTGCAGAGCCCGAACCTTCAAGCCAAAGTCCGTTTGAAGAACGGATGGGCGCCCCGACTTCAATACGCATAAGCTATCGGGTGGGGTTTAGAAGGAAACGGTGGAGGTGACTGTTCTTCTTTCCTCCTCCAAAATGATCCCCCCCAAATTGAAACACACACACACACCCACACACACACCATCTCTGGCTTCAGAGGTGACCGTCTTCGAGGGCTTGTGGGAATGTGTTGCCTTTATGGGGAGAAAAACATCCCAGCCAGACGAGCAAATTCTACCTTAATGTATGTTCCCACCAGTGGGTGGGATTCAAATTTTTTCACTACCAGTTCTGTGGGCGTGGCTTGGTGGGCGTGGTGTGGCTTGGTGGGCGTGGCAGGGGAAGGATACTGCAAAATCCTCATTCCCTCTGGACCCCGCTAGCCTGCTTTCCAGCTCCATTCTCCTGTGCAGGGCAACCAAAGGAGACCCAGCCGATCAGCTGGGACTCGATGGGAGGCGGAGGATAGATGGTCTTGTTTGTCTCAGATGCAGAATTGATGCACATGTCTCTCTCTCTCTCTCTCTCTCCCTCCCTCCCTCCCTCTCTCTGTTCCTCCCTTCTCTCTCCCTTTCTTTCTCTCTCCTTCCCTCCCACCTCTCTTTCTGGCTGTTCCCCCTCTTTCTCTGCCTCCCTTTCTCTATCTCTCCCTCCCTCCTCTCTTCATCTCTCTCTCTCCCTCCCTTTCTCTCTCCCTCCCTTTCTCTCTCTCTCCTTCCCTCTCTTTCTCCCTCTCCCCTCCCTCTTTCTCCCTCTCTCCCTTCCTCCCTGTCTTTCTCTCTCTCCCTTCTCCTCTCTTCATCTCTCTCTCTTTCTCCCTTTCTCCCTCTCTCTCCCTCCTCTCTTATCTTTCTCTCTCCTTCCCTTTCTCCATCACTCTCTCCTTCCCTCTCTTTCTCCCTCCCTCCCTCCTCTCTCCCTCCCTTTCTTTTTCCCTCTCTCCCTCTCTCTCCCTCCCTCTCTCTCTCCTTCTCTCTCTCTCCTCTCTCCATCTCCCCCCTTCTCTTTCTCCCTCTCCCTTCCCTCCCTCTTTCTTCCTCTCCCCTCTCTCCCCTCCCTTCCTCCCTCTCTTTCTCTCTCCCTCCTCTTCATCTCTCTCTCTTTCTCCCTTTCCCCCTCTCTCTCCCTCCTCTCTTCATCTTTCTCTCTCCTTCCCTCTCTTTCTCCCTCCCTCCCTCTCTCTCTTCCTCTCCCTCCCTCTCTTTTTCCCTCTCTCCCTCTCTCTTCCTCCCTCTCTCTCTCTTCCTCTCCTTTTCTCTCTCTCTCTCTCTCCCTCCCCTCTTTCTCTCCTCCCAGGCCTTTCTTGAAGAAGCAAAGGATGCACCATGTGTTCGCCCAGCTGCTCTCATTCGCCTCTTCCTGGCTGTTGATTTTCTGCCTGATTTTCATCTCCCTCCTCCCCGAGGTCGTCGGCCTCGTATTTAGACACTTAAAAAGGAAAAGCAGCGAGGTAAGAGAGGAGCAGAAAGCCTGTGAAGTGGAAGAATGGATCCCGCTCTTCTAAGCCAGGCCTCAAGCGAAACCGTGGACAGGTGTTCCCTGCGGTTGTTGTGTTTTCTGGGGATAAAAAATTTTTTTTTTATTTTTATTGTTTTACTTTCTCCTGAATGTTTAAACAATTCCCGTCTGGTTCAGTTCGGCTACAGCGGGCGAGCAACAGAAGGGTAGCTAGTGTTTAGCAGTCTGTGGAGGACCCCATTGGAAAAAAAAATAATCTCCCCACCCTTCTGCCTTGATAGGTTAGCCATCAACCATGTCACGATGGGAGGATCCATCCCAATCAGGACTAAGTCTGAAATGGAGAGGTTTTATTTTTTTCCAGAACGACACTTTGCCAAGCCTCCCATTTCACACCCTGCTTTCTAGAGAAATTCAGCCGGAAACCAAGTCCCGGGTAGATATTTCTCTTGTCGTGCGTCGTTTTAAAGAAAGAAGAATTTAGTCTTACGAGGCCCTCAACCAGTTGACGTCTGAATGCTTTCCCTCTCTCTCCTCCGCAGAGGAGCCATTCCCCCAATGGGTTTTTAAAGCTGGTGTCCTTAGAGGCTGAGTTTCTCTCTCTTTCTCACCATCTCCTGCTTTGCAATGTGCGTTGAAGCTTGAATCTCAGTGAAAGAGTCCCTTGCCCGTGTTCGTGATTTGTGGGGATCAAGCTGCCTTTTCAAGGAGGTTTTATTTCTTTCAGATTTGGGGTCCTGGAGACAAAGGAACCCAAGAGAACCGTAGCTGAAAGCATCCCTTCTGAAATTTAGGAGCCTAGTTATGGCTGGGGCATTCATTGATTTCCTTCTCCTTATCTAGAGTTGGAGGAAAAGGAGGACCTTAGTTTGAGGGAACGTAGGTAGGATGACCAACTGGGGTCACACCTGAGAAGGAAGAAAGGAGGAGTCCATGTAAGGTGTGGTTAGGAGAACAAAAAGCTTTGAGACTGAAATCTTAACTGGTATTTCACTAAACTAAGATCAGCATTTTTATATCAGTCCTGTTACAATGCTTGTTTCGTATTGGTGCTGTGGTTTCGGTCCACACGGTGGCACGAATGCAAGAATTATTATTATTATTATTATTATTTTTAATTATTATTATTTTGTCTTGTAAGGTCTTGCAGTTGGGCCTGTCCTGAGGAATTTTGTCTGTTTGACGTGTTAGAGGGGTCTTTTTGGGGAAGGAGTGGGTTGAATTTATTACAGGGAGTTGTAAAACGAAGACCTTTTCTTTGTGTTGTCTTGTAATGTAGTTTTTCCAGTAAACTTTATACACAAAATATATTGGAAGAGTAGTTTTTGCTAGAGCATACCATGAGGATGTAACTTCTCTAACCGAAGACAAAAGCAGTAAAAACCATAAAACAGGAAGAGGGGAGAGCAAAGTGGGAACACAATCAAATATATATATATATATTTGCTTTCGAAAAAGAATTAAGGTTCTGGAAGGACTCTATATAGTATGACTCTATCTTCTCTTCACAGAGACAATGCTAATTTCCTTACATTTTCAAATCTGAAAACAGGCAAGAGAAGAAGAGAGGGGTAGCTGAGGCTGCAACACCATCTTGCAAAACTTGCCACTGGAGCAACGAGGGATGCTTCCCATCCAGAGGTGGTATTCAGCCGGTTCGGGCCGGTTCTAGAGAACCGGTAGCAAAAATTTTGAGTAGTTTGAAGAACCAGCCAATAGCACCTCTGGTTGGCCCCACCCGCCCGCCCCCGCCATTACCTCTCCTATATGCCCTTGTTTTGAAAGGCGTAGCAGTAGCTACACCTGGGTTGATGGGACCTGTGCACCCTGGAGACCTGTGAGGTAAAGCGTGAAGCATCTGACAGAGATCATCCGTTTATCAAAGTAAGCAGTCTCTAGGGCTGATCCACACCTTTCTCAATTTAATAGCCCCAAATCTCCTCTCCTTGGTTTGGAGTCTCCAGATATTCCTAGGACCAGAGGTGGTATATTCAGCAGGTTCTGACCAGTTCTGGAGAACCGATAATGGAAATTTTGAATAGTTTGGAGAAATGGCAAATACCACCTCTGGCTGGCCCCGCCCCCCTACCCCCGCCATTACCTCTCCTATATTCCCTTGTTTTTATCTTAGCTGATTCGCGTGGCAGAGCAGATTGCCATGCCTCAGCTGAACCAAAAAACAGCTCAGCTCACCAGCATTTACACTCTTTGTGCCCTGTGCGAGCGCGCAAAGCAGGAAGAAATTTGGAAACCCACCACTGTTCCCATCCCTTGTAGAAGCATCTCTGGTTGAGTTGGGATGACCTTCTGGTAGGAGGTACGGATGAAAAGGAGGGCTCCTGGCCTGATCCTACTACCAACCTGAAATTGACGGTGGCCACCAACCTAGTAGTCCTTTCAGATGTTTCTGGTGTCCCAAAGGTGCTTTTTCTTTTTTTTCCAAAAGGCAACTGGACTTTCTTGGTTTTCTTTCTTTGGAAGCTTTTCGCTTGTCACCCAAGAAGCTTCTTTAGTTTGTTTTGAAGTTAGAACTGAATGTTTTCAAAGAAGAAGAAGCAAACCCAAGAAAGTCCACTTTTGAAAAAAAAAATGCCCTTGGGACAACCCTGTCCTGGATGATGGAGACTTTCCATAGGCTCCCTGACCAATTACAGCAGGACAGATCTCCCGAACCTTTAATAGATCCTCTCTGTCCAAGAGCACGCTTTCCTAGGCGTGAGATAGATGCCTCTGGAGAAGCTGCCTCAAACGTCTGGCTTCCCATTTGACCGACCGCTCCAAACTCTGGTTTTTCAGAGAGTTAATTTCTCAAGTTTGACTACGGCAATCGAAGGAACACGCTGCAGGAAAAAGAACCATTATTTTTTCCTTTTTAAAAATCAGCATTGTGATGCCATAATTATGGACAGCGGCTTCTTTCTAACAGGTTCCCTCCATTCTCGACTTTTATTATCAGTACTTTTCCACTATTAAAAAAAAACACGCACGGGCGTTTAAAAAAAAAAGAAAAGAACTAATTTGTAATATATTATTTTTTTGCCCTGCTTTTTCCAGCCGCCTGATTTCCTCTCTCTCTCTCTCTCTCTTTCTCTCTCTGTTTCCAATTTCCCACTTTCCTTTTGTCTCGTTGCGAACCAGGTAACCCGGCGCCTTCCTTCCTCGGGAACATCCACTATCTTCGTCCTCTCTCAAACCTCCAGTAATCACAGTTTCTCTGAATGAATAAGGTGATTTTCTTCTTTTTAATAAGCTGCCATTCTCCGCAGTCGCTCCTTTGCTTTCTTCCCGGGCACCTGACCTTTTCATAATGTGCTTATCGACTGTCTCACATGCATTCTGCTTTTCTTTTTTCTTTTCCCCCTTTTCTTCTTTTTTTTTTTAAAAAAGTAGGAACACTTCATATATTTCAAAGTCCTGCTTAATTGCCATTCCTTTTTTTAAAAAAAAAAAATCTCGCGTCATCTCTCCTTCCCTGCTCATGTCGCCACCGATCAGGTTGCTGTTTTGGAGGGTAGCTGAAAAATCATGATATTGCAATTCCAGTTTGTGCAGGAAGCAGCCCGCCTCTCCCCTGATTTCCCAAAATTATAGGTGTTCTGGATGGTTTTGCTGGGGATCAGTTGATAGAGCCACCAAGATTACCTTTTGTGGTAAGAAGCACTGATGGAAGTGATGGGACCACTCCAGGATGGAAGGCTAACATCTTACCATTCTGGAAGCATTTTTTAAAAAATGGGGAGTGGGCTTTGCTAGTTGAAAGTTAGCCCAGCAAGGCATGGACAGTAGCTTTTCACCTGGATGGAGTAGCTTGCCAAGACTAGATTCCTGCACCTGCATCTTCAACAGCTGGAGACATCTTCCTTACCGCTTCCAGATGTGTGAAATTGTGAGAAGCTACGTCAAGAATCTTCCGATAAACAAAAGTGAGGTTTTGCGTGCGTTCAGAAGTGGTGCTGAACACCGTCTGAATGCAATGGTTTGCTTGTAGTCCAGTAGCCCACGAAGCAAAGGTAGGTTTGAAGGACCCCAAAGGTATTGTCCCAAAGCTGTGATTAGAAGATTGCTGGTGATTTTTAGTAGCGATGGGCAATAATTAGCATGATCCAACTAGGAAGTTTTGCAAGTTCCAGAGTAAACTTCTTGAGTTATCTTGAATCAGTTGTATGTCCTGTTCTGGAGAAATGCACCATCAAACGTTCCCACAATCTACACAAATCAGAGAAATGCTTAAAAGTATGAATGAAAAAATGATCACTCTAACCTTAGGCAATAATTTGCCAAGCAAGAGAAAATTAAAACTAAGCTACCGGTGGTAGGGAGACTTCGCTTTAGATAGAGTTTAGCAACCAAACATAGAGGTAGAAATGTTGCACAAGAAAGCCAAATCTATTACGGAGAAAATTCTCTTCTGTTGATTGTGAATGGATGGTTCCTTTTTTAGGTCAAGCTCCAGGCAATCCAGATCCTTCATAAACTGGCCAAGCATGATGGTCACTGTCATGCTTTGCTGTGATCTGAACTAGTCAGTTCCTGTTAAGCTGCCAGCCAACCTGTTGGATTGGGCTCCATCCAAAAGAAAGGAAGGTTGGAGTTTTGGGGCAAGCTCATCATTTCTGCACTGATAGGAACTCAAGATATCTAAACTCTCGGTTTCCCGGTCCCATGTTTCGCAACTTTAAGATGGGTGGACTTCAGCTCCCAGAATTCCCCAGCTGGCTGGTTGGAGAATTCTGGGAGTTGAAGTCCACCCATCTTAAAAGTTGCTTAAAGTTAAGAAACACTGTCCTGGCCCTTTGTCGAACCAAGAAGTTCTTCCCATCCGAACAAAAAGCAAAGTGGCTACCAAGGATCTCGTGGCGGTTCGGGATCTTCAAATATGTCTCCGGTTCCAAGCAAAAGGTCGATCTCTTTCAAACATCCTATTGTGGGTTTCTTTTTTCCCTAACCATGCATTTTGAGCTCCTTTTAGTTTCCCACTGAGGAACCAAATGTCTTTTTCAATGCTAAACCTCCCTACTTAAAACAGGAATTCACCGCTCATATCCTTTATTTTATTTTTGCCTCGCTGTCTGCAGAAAAGTCCCCACAGAAAAATGGCAAGGGATTCAGCACCATCTTCGGTCAGGCCTCTCCTTTTAAGAACGTTCTCAGAAACGTCTAATGTATCGTAACAGGTATTCCCCTTCTCCCAAACGATACTCTGGAAGGCATGGAAATAACCCAGTGATTCCTGGGAATCAGTTGAATCCTAGCGACGATTCTAGATGTGATTCTTTAACCTCAACTGTCATGATACTGTCTTAGCCCAGCAGAACACATCACCTGCCCTAATTTTATAATAAAAAATTAAAACAGGAAGGGCTCATTTTCATACGGACTTGTATGGACCCAACAGAGAGCATCGAAACTTGTGTTCGGTTTTTGCAACCCCTGGGTTGCACATAAAAGGGGTTTATTGGCTTAAGGGTGGATAGATGGATGTGTTCTGCTGACGGCTGAGAAGTTCAAGGGACATGATTGTCCACTTTCTGCTGTAGGTCCCTCCTTTTTTTTTTAATGTTTACCTTCTGTGCCAGTTCCTCAACCTTTCCTCTCTTCAACCCCTCCTCTAGTTGACCATGCTCGCATGGCATTTCCAACGTTTTGCCATCTCTAATCAAAATTAATCAAAAGTAATCAAGGTAATTAAATCAAGGTAATCAAGGGGCAACGAAGATGGTTAGGGGACTGAAGGCTAAAACGTAGGAAGAATGGTTGCAGGAATTGGGTACGCCTAATCTAATGAAGAGGAGTAGTAGGGGTGACATGATAGCAGTGTTCCAATATTTGAGGGGCTGCCACAAAGAAGAGAAGGTCCACCTATTGTACAAAGCATCTGAAGGCAGGACAAAAAGTTTGATTTTCTTGGTCCTACCATGCCTGGAGATGCTGTTTGTGAAATTGTGGTGATCTTGGGGCAGATACCTGCGCTCTTTGAGGATGGATGTGAAAGATTCCATTAATAATTGTTTCGGACCAAAATATTACTATAAGGCAGAAGCAAATAATAGCTATTGGAGTTTGGGCATCTATGGTACTGCTGGATGTCTTGGGAGCTAAACTTCAGAACCCATTACTTTTTTTCATCCCATCAGAAGAAGGTAGGTCCATCTGATACGTTGTCCCCTCCAAATTCAGAGAAGGTACAAATTTGAGGGAGGAAGAAATAGTGAGGAATCAACTCTTCCAAAGTCAAAGGCACCCATTTGTTTGAACAAAACAGTGCAGGGTTTGGATTTGTGTCCAACTTAAAGTCAACATGTCAGTCAAGCTAAAGAGTAGTGCGGTGGCCTAGAGGTATAGTTCTCACCTCACAATCACGAGGCTGTGAGTTCAATCCTAGGTAGAGGCAGATATTTCTCTCTCTGGGTACAGTGGAACTATATCTGCTGGGGGGGAAAAAAACTCCATACTGGTGACAGGAAGGGCATCCGGCCAGTAAACACTGCTAGCTCCAGTCAGTTGCCCAGACTCCACCCTGCAAGGGATTATGGGAATGATGATGTCAGGCAAGCTAAAAATGAGCATTTCAACCGTAGCTCGCATTGATTGATTTTAGCTTTGTCCTCCTAGGACACGATCAATTTCTCTGAATTACCGGTCGACCTTAAAAGGAGCTAAATATAAATTGGTAGCTTATACAGAAGCGAAATGAAAAAGGCTTCATATCCATTTTTCATTTCACATGCATTGCCTTAATCTAGAGTTTGTTCTGAATTAACTACTTTCACGGAATTAAGAGAAAAGAATGCCAAAGCCATGACATTGCAACCCGATTGCAAACTTTTTCTGAGTAGATACGAACGGGGCTTCTTATGCACTTGGGTTACATGATCTATCCAAGAGGAGAAGAATAAAAGAATAAGTTTTCTCAATTGCACAACTCCTGTTCCTCCCCTGGATTAAAGTTAAATAAATAAAATGTTGGCAGAGGAAAGGAACATGATGAAATCCATGAAGTTATTTCTTTGAGTGCGGCATGAAATATGTTGCCTAACTTTCTTATTTCACTATATACGTTGAATTTAATAATACAGAAAAGTTCGGAAAAACTATGCTTCTGAGCACCACTTAATCTAGGATCTCTGGATCGTGGCTATCTGTATCTGAGAAGTCTCCGTTTTCCTTCCTTCCTTCCTTTCTCTCCAGGTAGCTTTAGATGCTTCAGTTTAAAACTCTTGTAGATCTTGGCATTAGACGCGTCCAAAGTTTTGCTGCTTGAGAAATTTCTACAGCTTTGCTCTGTTTTTTTCCAATCCCTGTTTCCAACTCCTTCATTTGTCCTCCTTTAAATATGACAGTCTCTATTTTTGTCACCTTCCTTTATCAGCTTCTCTTTCTATGAATCCCTCCTGGAACCCAGGAGATGGTGCTGTATTTTATTTTCTGGCAAACTTGATTATTTAGTTCATTAATGCATGCATCTTTAGCACAAATAATGCAATTCCTAGAAATAGGAATGCTTTCATACTAAGCCTAGTTCTTCTCTGATTTCCAATTTTATATATCCCTCTGTAAAAAATTCCACTATCTACCTGTAGAGCAAGACAATGCTTCTATTTTTGTAGTATAACTTAGAAAAGCTCATACCGTAGCTGTTTAGTTCAGCAAACCTCTGAACTGCCTTGCCCAGAAGTTAAAAAAAAAAATCTCAGCGCTTGTTCGATAAAAACCCAAAGATTCATTCCACACTTCTACATTTTTTTTTGGCATTCTTTTTTCCTCCCCTTTTCTTTGGAGATTACCATATTCTTTTCCTCCAAAAATCTTAGAAATCTAATATATGTGTTGGCTGCAACCCGCATACCTGATCATTTTGTGCATCTTTGCAAACCGCGGTGACAGCAGCAACAGCAAGCACTGTGGCTAAATGGCTCTCTTTCCCTCTCTCCTGTGTTTGTGTCTGTGTGTGTTTGTGTGTCTGTTTTAAACAGCCCAACCCTTCGGAGTTACCAATGCTGGTGTCATACAAGCAGCTAGAGAACAGCCATTCTGCAGAAATGAAACCCAGAGAGACCCTCGCTCACCTGGCTGAATGCCATCTCAGGATATTTCAAATGCAACAGTTATAATTCTGCTTTTTTTGTTGTTGTTGTTGTGATGCAACGAGTTGTCCGCCCTACCCGAAAGGAAGATGCCATTTAAAGAAAAAAAGAAAAGAAAAAGGCGCATGGATTTGTTTTTTCTTTTTTTGCCTTTTTTTAAAAAAAATGGTGCAAAATCCTTGAAGGCTTGTGGATGAGTTCTCTTTCTCTCCCACTCCATCCTCCTCATAATGCCAGCCCCGAGAACCCCAACTGGCTGTTTTGATTGTGAAAAATGGAGAGAGATTTGGGACCTTGGAAACGAAGGACGCAGCTTCTGTTTTGCAACTGGCTGTCGGACAAGGGGAATAAAAAAGACCATTTTCCAGCTTTGGGTTTTCCCTTCTGAACCGGTAAAAGAGCACAGATTTTCATTCTCATTTCGCAAGTGTAAAGTTGGATTATTGTCTCTTGCCTAGCCTGCTTCCTTGCACCCTACAGCATTTTTCCATTCTTTCTACCAACAAGTGGAGTTGTTTTCTTCTTTTTTCTTCCTCTTCCTAATCAACTCAGCGGTTCAATGAAGGAAATGAGGATGGACGTGTTGGCTGCTAACTGAACTTTCTCCACAAGACACCAAGGAGGATGTCATAAAAGCCACTTTTTTAATACAAAAAAACCACACACACAATGGGGAAAAATCAGAAAGCTGATGAGATGCACCGAAAGTTCTCCCCTCTCTCTCTCTCTCTCTCTCTCTCTCTCTTTTTTTTAAATGCAATCCTTTTTTTCCCTCTGGCTTGAAGCTTTCATAATCAAGATCCATTTAATTTCAGAAGAGTCAAAGTGCCTGAGCTTCAACCCTCTTTTTTTCCCCCTCACTGGACTATCCTGGTTTTGTGGAACAGTTGGAAGAACTTTGGGTGTAGAACATCAGGAGTGCAAGACTTGGCCAGTGGGCTTGTCATCTTTTGCCGTGCAAATTCTGTTCCCTTCTAAAACTTGTGGGAGGTTCCGATAGGAGATAAGGTCATACATCTCCATTGGGCTATACGGGTTGATTACCACCAACCCTAAAAAAAATAAATAAATATCTTGCGTACAAAAGGGAAGAACTAATACTTTAAGCAATACATTCTGGATGTGTTAGCACATTGCTTTGCAAAACCATCTGGGATCTTCAACTTCAATGTTTGGTGTGAAGACTAAAACATCGACAGAGGTCAAGTTCCCAGAGGCACCCTGTTTTTCTAAGACTTTGCTCGGAAAGAAAGGAGCAGGTGACTATCTGGTCACCCAGGTGAGACAATATGGATGACCAAAGGAGTTGAGTTAGACCCAAACAGCCCCAGTATTCATGACCTCCCTGTATTCATCTTTTCAATACCCGTTAATCTCCGTTCATTCATCCTCCTCAGTCTTTGGATTAAAACGTTCACCTGTTCCCTGCATCCCAGTTTGGGCTGCTTAATTCAAGACCCATCTGGTCAACTTTATCTCCAAGGCATGCCACATCTAACAAGCCACCTCTGCACATCCTCTGAAGAAGGTGTCCTATAAAATCTTTTGGCGCACCTAAAACAAAAACAAAAAAATTCCCTTATTTGCATGAACAGAGCAGCAAAGCATGTATCTACGGGCAAAATTGGCAGACGTCTTTGCAGCATGAAAGAACCACAACAATCCCACCTCCTGACACCAAATGGTGGCACATGAAATTTCCTCAAAAGTGTTCGTGGCCACGAGAGCCGTGATGGAGGAAGATCTAAGTTGGGTTTCAAAGGAGTCGAAGTTTGGATGTGTAGATGCAGTTCTCGCCCAGCAAAGCAAGGCTGAGAAGATACTTGAAGTGCATCGGTAGTAGGGCACGGATAGGGAAAGGTCTGTGTAGCCCTGAAGAACAAGTTACTATGAGTACCTTGAACACACGTACTTATTGTTGAAATGGAGGCAGAATGAACTATCCTTCTGTTGCCACCTCCCCTTAGAAACAAAACATACACACACACAATCACCCGAGAGCAATCTTATTTTCAGCGTGCTGACCAATAAGCTGCATTTTTTTGCAACCTTGCAAAAGGTTATCAAGAGAAGAACAACCTGTTGTCTTATTTTATTTTTTATTTTTTTTTTGGCAAAGGAACAATGGAGACCAGAACCTGAGTCCAAATAGCTCTTTAAAAAAAAAAAAAAGGAAAAAGCTTGCAGGATGTCAGCTACAGCCACATTTTTTTCCAACTTAAAACAAAGAGGGTAAAATATGGTTGGTCTTTTTTGATGTTTACATGATTCCCTGATAATTGAAAACCATTCCTGCATCCATTTTTAATTGGGGAACAGGAGGGATGGGTTATTATTTTTAAATAACACAAACAGTAATACTCAGGAGTTTGAGAATTAGCTTTTCGTTGAAACCAGGAGAAAAGCTCATTCAGTTTCCATTGTCTTCCTATCCAAACAGAGCGAGGTTACAAATAGAGAAGCATTTTTCCTGGTTTTTGCTGCATGACAAAAAACAAAAATGCAATTATATCATTTTTAAAACCACGGCCTTGGAATGAAAACCTGCCCATCTCTTTGGGGAAAAACACTGACATTTTTGCTTTATTTTGCTTTATTTTTTTAAAAAAATAAATAGGATAGCTGATTTCAATCAAAGCTTTTCATTCGCCCAGATAAACAAACCATGGTTAATATTGGATGGTGGCATGAGCGAAGATGTTCATTCTGACTTGTCACAATCAGGGATAATTCTGTCACCTCCAATTTGGGTTGTACTGACTTTTCTGCCCTAGGTTAAATAATGAAATTTGTTTTGGGTGTAAAATCTGCTCTTCTATGCCAGTTGGTTAGTTAACTGAAGATTGTATATCCTGGTGAGGTAAAATAACCCTAAATTCAGTTGTGTATCAGTGCCCAGGTAGGCTCCGGAGATTAGTTCTCAGTTTGATAGTACTCAGCTGACAAAACCAGCAATGGATCTTTGCAAACTGGAAAGCAGAAGGAAAAATTATATAATATGTGTATGTATGTATATAAAAAAGAGGATGTGTAAATACGGGGAACAGTCAGAACTGGGATGTAAAACATTATATAAGGATTTTAAGGTGCATTTTTCAGCTTGCAAAAAAAAAAAAAAAAACAACAACAACCCGGGAATACGTTAATCACTTCAACTGTGATTTTATATATTCATGTTGCTTTATACAATACTTGTGGAATGTTCAATTTTATGAATGCAATCGGCTCTTTTTTCATTACAATTTTTTTGAGTTTTCTTTTGAAATGATCAATAAACTTTGGTATGTTCTGATGATGAGTTTAACCGCCTCTGTCACTTCCACATGGCCTCGGTTTGAGGTGGGGAGGGCTGTTGGGATGTTGTGGGCAACGTTGTTGTATACAAGCCACTGTTTTCACGGTAAGTGTGAAGTCCGGTGTGCGAAGCCGCAGGTATGAAGTCATACGTGTGAAGTCAAGAAAGCCCTTGTGGGACTATTTCTCTGCCTCTTTTATGGGCAGTCCACATCACTTCAAATTAAGGATAACACAACAAAACAATGGAATGGAATAAGCAAGCAAGTTTGCAAATCTCTCATAAAGTTTACTGGCTTTTAAGCAGAGGTGGTATTCAACCCTCTTAAAAGGGCCTAAGGAATTCTGGGAGTTGAAGTCCACCCCTCTTAAAGGGCCCAAGGAATGCTGGGAGTTGAAGTCCACCCCTCTTAAAGGGGCCGAGACTAAGGAACTGGCTTTCCAGGCACCTGTGCTATTTAGCCTTGCAGCTCTTCCCCAAAAGGGATTATTCCCCAAGGGATTCCAGCAAGCTCCCAGATGTGCTGGGACTACACTTCCCAGAATCCCCAACGGCCAGCCCAGCTTCGACCGGTGACAGCCTGCAGGACCAGCCCTCTCTGGAGAGCGCCCAGTTGGAGAAGGGCTAACCAGTCCAGTCCAACCGGTCCGACTCCTTGTAAGGCAATTTCCTGCTTCCTTGGTTGCCAATCGCCGGCCGCGCGCAATGTTGGAGCCGGCGGGACCCCCGCGGGGGATGAAACCCACCTTCCAAGGCCACCTTCGTCCCCTTAAAGCGGGGCGGGCGGTCCCGACGTGATGCGGGACACGCGGGAAGCAGGGTCCGGGTCCTTTGGGGAGGGTAAGGACGAGCTCCTTTTGGGGGGGGGTCTCCCCACCGCCTTTGGTTACCCCGCTGGAAAGTTGGGGACCGTCTCCATCCTCGCGTCTGAATCGCTCTCCATCCAGCTGGGCGCCCCGGCGCTGCAACCGGAGGGGAAACCGAGGCAGGACCCGACCCACCGACCCCTCCTCCCGGCTGCCCTGCGGAACCAGCCGCCCCCGGGCCGAGCGGGGAAGGAGGGACCGGCGGAGGCGGAGTAACCCAACCCAGCTAAGCCCAGCCCGGCCGGGCGCGCCGCTGCAGCCGCCCGCCAGACTCACCGGGCCGATGGCTCTGCCCGCCCGGCCGCCCGGCCGCATCTCCGAGGCCGAGATGGCTCTATACTACCAGCTGCTGCGAAGCGCCGCCCGCGCCGAGGTGCTGGCCGGAGCCGGTAAGCCGCCCGGGCCGGGAGATGTGGCGGGGCGCATCTCTTCTCGGTTCTGATGCGCTCCGGAGTGGCTGCGTTGCAGAAAGAAGGAGGGAGGGCAGGTGGGAAGGAAGGGGGGGGTTGCTGGGGAGAGGGGGGGATTTCCCACCTCGCTTTCCCCTCCCCTCCTCTTTATATCTCTTGCTCGGCATCCCCGTCTAAAGAGGTTTGGGGGTACTGCCCCATCCCCAATAAACGGGGGGGGGGGGGGGGGAGAGAG